CCTGTAACGAACGGTTCCTGCACGGAGCCGCAGGCTGTGAGTACACGGCCCCTTGTGCTGCTGCCGCGAGGTGCTAAGCGCGTGTGTGTCTGGTCAGGTACTCGGGCTGAGCCCTGGAACCCACGTTCGGTGATTTTACAATGACTAGTTCGGGGCGGCAGGGGGTCAGGTCCAGCTGTTTTTTAAAAAGTTGGAATGAGAGAGTTGGTGGGTGCACGAAATGACCAGCTTACGGAGAAGCAGAGGGCAGTGCCCTGACGCTCGTCCATAACCAGAATTTCACACCCCGCACTCTTGAATTTGAGGTGCGCCTGGGGCCCTTGATTGTCTGAGCTGCGATCCTGAACCCAGAAAATGGATTCCATAGACGTTTTAGGAGACACTTGTCATCTCGTATGCAGAAGACTGATTTCTAGGAGTGTGGGAAAGTTCTCCATCCCAGCAGATGTCCCGTCTCCTTATTTTATGAACTATTTCCATTCCTTTTTAAAAACATAAGATGCATACAGAATGTTCTAGGATGTGTTCAGTGTACCTATACCATATACCTTAAATACAAACAAATCAGTTAAGCCCCAGACTCTTGCACGTTAATATAAGGGAGGCGTAGATTTCTGGCGCGGTTGTTAAGTACTAAGATCCTGGGGGGGGTCTTGTTTTCCGTGTCGAGGGGCAGTACAGGGAGGCAGGTGCAGCTGTCAGTGGTTGCAGTCGGAAGTGCCACGTTCTCCGTAAGTGTAAAGCAGGTGAACTGTATCATATCTTTTCTGTGATACAATTAAATTACGGATTCTGGTCTCTTTGGTAGCTGTCAAGATCAAGAAAAATAAGGATAATGTGAAGTTTAAAGTTCGGTGCAGCAGATACCTTTACACCTTGGTCATCACAGACAAAGAGAAGGCCGAGAAACTGAAGCAGTCCCTGCCCCCCGGTGAGTGACGTGGAAACCCCAGGTGGCAGGGGAGGGCGAGCCAAGAATTTGGGAGGTGTATGTGTCACCATCTTGTTTCTTGCGTTGTCCCCAAATTGAGTAAAGTCCACTTTGCGGTCTGAGCATCAGATCCTGCTGGCAGCAGTGCAGGGGGTGGTGAGCACGGCCTGCGGCAGACACCCTTCCCCGGGCCCAAGGAAGTGAGCCCACCCTTCTCTGCTTTTCCAGTGCAGAGTAGTAAGGTGACGCTTCTGTGTGTAACTCGCTTCATTCCCACTAGGCGGGGACTGGTTTCAATGCTCCCCATTTTTGCAGGTTGGACCACTGATTAAATAGAATAGACCTTGAGCATAGGCTCACCAAAGGGCCCATCCCAGCGGTAGGTGGGGGGAGAGCTGGGGAGGAAGCTGCCCGGGGCCACAAAGCGGGCACCTGTCAGCAACAAAAATGCTCAGCTTTGTGAGAACTAAGTGGGAACTCTATAAAGGCTGAAAGAAGGGCTTTGGGAGGGTTTTTCATTCTATCAAATACTAACTTAATATTTTAAGCAAAACCTCCCTGGTAGGCTTTGTTTTTGAGCTTTGTGAGCCCTATTGGACTTAAGCACAAAATCCAGACAGGCAACAGTAACTCAAAATATATCTTCTGGGTGACTCGCTTTTATATCTTACTTCTCCTAGGTTTGGCAGTGAAGGAGCTGAAATGAACCAGACATGCTGATCTGAACTGCATTAAAATTTTTAAAAATCTTAAAAGTGTCTTTTGTCTTTGAGGACGGGCAGGGAAGTGTTACTGGGTGGTGGCTTCTGCTGGGAATGGGATGGAGGTCCCGGTTGCGACCTCCTGCGTCCCTCATCTTGGGCCGTGGACAAATAAAG